ATTGGTGAATTAGCATTACCATTGTAAAGTAACAAGCGACAACTGTGTTATTTCTATTTCCCTTCTTCATGCTAAGAGAAAACCAAAGTGAAAAGAAACTACAATCCACTGAACAAGTAAGTCAGGCAAGGTTATGATGTAATGACCTTCAGTTGAAGCAAGAAACTCAGGTTTTAATCCAGACCACAAACTTTATTGCTTTGGGGATTTCACCATCTCTTAATCACAAAAGTAATAAGAATTTCCAATATGTTCAACTGCTGTGCCTAATCAATTGTTCCAGCTGCCAATCACTGGCAATATCAGAAAGTACTGTGGACTTAACAAATGCCTGCCAGCCAACAAACCAGCTGTGACCCTTTGCTAACACTGAAGGGTCTAGACAGTAAACTTTAACCTCTCCTCACACATCCCTGACATATTACATATTGTATCACAGCAGGCTCATAGTTATTGCAGTACGTACTGGACAGATTTTATTTTGTTACTCATATTATGTGTACACAGAAAGCAGAAACCCATGGCAGCAAGTCTCAGAGCCCAAGTCTACAGACGTGGGCTCTCAATATGGCATTACAAATAGCAGTATAGACTTTAGGCTCAGGTTGGTACTCAAAATCAGAAGCCTGCCCCCCACCCTAGGTTTCAGACTCTGGGGACCTTTTTTTGGCAACTAGCATCCTTGTCCAATAACTTGCTGTAACACATTGAAACATCAAGTTGGCTTTTCTATGGCGGTGGAAAGAGTCTCTGCCATTTTATATCTTCCCCCACCTCCAAGGTGAAGATAGAGCTAACACTCTGCAGTGGGCTCCTACCTCAGAGCCAAATATTAAAATGTGGCAAATTGCATGCCTTCTGACAGGAAACACTAATAGCAACAACAACAACAAAATAGTAGCTCAAACCTAATCAGCCAAAACCTGGGAAAAAACTAAATTTCAGAAGATTTTTTTATAAAGAAAAAAAGAATTTTCCTGCTTATTGTGGAAGAATAAATTGCCTGGTTCCTCTGTGGTAAGAGACCATCAGGCCAGGTGATCTGGAGTATCATTAGTAAAGAAGGAGGTATGGCTTCATTTTCAGCTTGTGGTCTGCCTGAAAATCTCTGCTGAGTGTTAAGATCTTTAGTAAAGAAATGCCAGGCACACACTCATCAGAGAAAAGCCAAAAAGACTCAGAAAGCTAGGTTTGTAAATCTCAGTTCATGTTGCTAGCTTTTATTTGATTTCCTTGATATGGTCTAGTGGTTTTAGGAAGCCCTGCGTTCTCACTCCACTTCTGCCAATGACTTCCTCTGTGGCTTTGGAAAAGTTACTTAAGCTCTCTGCCTAGTTTCCCCAGCTGTAAAATGGAGATAATGATACTTACTAACCTAACTCCCAGGTTGTGAAGATTAATGTTTGTTTGTAAAGGACTTTGACCCAGGCAAACATATGTAGGCACCTAACTCCCACTGAAATCAAATGGGAATTAGGCATCTAAATACCTTTGAGGAGGATTTAGGCCTTTGAACATGGAAACACAAAAAGGGGAGCTGAAACAGGGGAGATAGTCATGGAGAAGGGAGAAATGTGACCTGAATGCAGCCAGGTGGCCATGTCTGTTTTTCTATTCTGATGCCAAATATCCTGTTCACAAGGATGATATAATTATTCCGTATACAAATGGAATGTTAAATATAGTGATTTTAAAAAAAACAACACGCTAGCAAATATGCAACTTTAATTGAAGCTGAACCACAAAACAAAAGGTTTATACTGTCCTTTCTAAGTGGGAAGTATTTTCAACCCTGCCTCAAAATCTTTGTGGGCATGGGTAGGAAGAGAGGCATTTTGGGGCAGAAATAGATTGACAGAGCACTGATTTGACAGTAATAAATCCATGGTAATAAATTACACCATAACTGGTAGTTTGCAAGAAGAAAGGTGGTAATTCGGCATTTTAAACATGTTCCTTTAAATTACAGGGTTCTTGCTCCATTAAGAGAAGAAATTGAATTTTTTATAGTATAAATTCTGTAATATTTTAAAATGCTATTTCTCTTTTTTCTTACTCATGAATCAGGTTTCTTTTTCCCTCCATCCACTTCATTTTTATTGCATGTCAATAGAATACATAAGAATGCAGCTCCACACAGAGAAAATCTGTAGGAAGAGAGATGCCTGTTGGATAATCTTTATGTGTTGGTAAATCCAACTGTGATGAGACCTTGAAAATGGCAGCATGCATTTTTCCTATATAATTACCAAAATTAGATGACCTAAAAAGGTGTAACTCAATCTTAGATTCACATTCAAGTCCAAAAGGCTATCTATCTGAAACTATGCTGAGCTTCTTAAGGATCCTGGGGGAACAATAGCTTTTTCATGGTATTTATTCCTGGGAATTTCTGTTGATGGGTTTTATTTATGTTGGAGTATTATACAAACTATTGACTTTCAGATTGATTGAAGAAACAGGAAAAAGACTTTTTACTGAGGAACACTTTGTTAAATAAAGCCCTTTTTCATAATGTTTCTATGCAAATCTAGCTTATGGTAAATTGGAGGTAAGAAGAATGTTTGTTGTCACAGATGTTTACTAAGTTTCATGCTATTCAAACTATGTGCTTAACTTAGATCAGGCAGCAAAAGGCAATTACTTAAGAGAAACTGACAACAGAAAGATTTGTTTTCTCAAATAATGATGCTAAGGACCCTCCACGTAATTTGGAAGTTACTATAGTACTGTACAGTATATTGAGAAATTAGAGATTCAGATCTAAGGGTATGTCTACACAAGAGCTGGAAAGTGTAATTCCTAGATCATGTAGACATACTTGCACTTGCTCTGCTCAAGCTAGCACGCTAAAAATAGCAGCATGGCGGTGGTGGCATGGGTGTTAGCTTGGGCTAGCCATCCGAGTACGTACCTAGGACCTCAGACGGAGTTGTACTAGGGCAACTAACCTGAGCCACCACCTGTGCCACTGCAGCCACAGTGCTGTTTTTCGTGCATTAGCTCAAGCAGAGCAAGCACGTGTATGTCTACCCAACCTGAGAACTACCCATCCATCTGCTGTGTACACATATGCATAGATACTACAGCCATGAGTGCTCTAGAAATGCACATAAATATCTTCCCATTGATATGCATCTGATATCATAGGGCCAAATGCTGGCCCCCAGCTTTCCTGCAGCATTGAGGCTGTCAAGGCTGTGTGACATAACACGGCATGACTTGGAGGCTGCTGTCTTCCATGGAGGCTGAAACAGTGCTCCATAGCATCCATAAAGCTAACCAAGCCCTTCTTCTGCCCACTTGTAGAGTCAATGACTGCACCTCACCCAGACATTGACTACTGAGGTTAGTGAAGGGCTCTCTATTCAGCAGGCTTCCCTTACTCTGTGTGGGGAAAGAAGGGGTGGATTTCTTTTGAACTATCAAGAAACAGGAAAGACAGAGCAGGGGTGGAATGCAGAACCTATTTAGGGCAAAGAAAACACCACTATTGCAATAAATAGGGAAGGAGACACCCACCCACACAGGGAGAAAGAGAGACCAGATCTGTGGAAAGCTCCAGAGGGGAACATAGAATTTATTTGTCAACATCTTCACTAGGTGTGTGGGTCAGGACTTGGTCCATCTATATATCAATGGCTAATTGTTAATTGATAAGAGTTGTGTATGTGCACATCCAAAAGCAGAATTCGGCACACTAATAGTTATGGGAGCTCTGTGTGTGCGCGCTAAGGGGATATTATACATCCCTACATTACTCAGATGAAAACAAGCAGTTTTTTTCTTTGTCAGCAGATTAAGGTCTCTAAATAGAAACATAGATGTTGGAGATGGAAAAGACTTCTTAGGTCACTCTATATGGCTATCAGTGCATGCTTGTTCCCTACAGTACTTTCTCCAATTTAGCTTTGTCTCAAGCAATGTGGCTTCTAACAGTTCCCTTGGAAACTATTCTTCAGTCTAATTGGTAGTTTTTTTTAATATGCAGCCTACATTTTAATTTTCTTAATTTCATCTCATTTCTCTATCATATACCTTGTGTTATCCTACACAGTTCCTCTGCTCAGAAACTTGAAGATGTATCTCTCCATTTTGTTTCGCTAAGCCATACGCTTTTTGTATTCTTTATCTTTTTTGATGAAGAATAAGTATCTATTTTTCACTCAAAATCAACTGCATCACTTGACGCAGATGTCAGTAAAAAGCACCTAAGTTTATCAGGGGCCAAGTTAGTGTGTCACTCTCCCTGTTTACTGTTGCTTTGCTTTGCCAAAAGTAAAAACATCTGTGTTTTACATTTGAAAGGAAACTCTTTGCCTTTGAGACAATCCGCAAGAAAACAAGGATTGTCTACAGTCCTCACACAGTTGCTAATTGCTTGCATCGTCATTTATAGCATCTCTGAAAATGAAGCTACTGATTTTTAGGTCATCTCATTAGGATGTAGGGAGGAACATCTATAATGCTTTTAAGTTAACCCTTCAGCATGTGACTAGTTTTTTTTATTTGTTGAAAAATTATGAAAGTATTCAAATTTTCAAAAAGTAGTAAACATTTGTTTTTAATTGTGATGTTTTGTATCAGTTTTTAGATCAGCTCTAAGAACTATGCTTTATAGCTTTAGAACTTGTTCTGCAATATGAAAAAATAATAGACCCCAGATTTGCCGTGTTTATTCAAGCAAAACTCCCAGGACTGGGTCCATAGTGTTGTCCTTTTTGATTTTAGACAGCTGTCCATTGTGAACTGTCCAATCACGTGCATATTTTCAAAACCCGATCAGTGTTTCTTTCATTATAACATAGTTTGGGTTGTTTTTTTATGGACCAGTAACATTTTTTCAAACAGAAAGTAAGACTTGAAAAAAAGTTGGTTTCTAAGAATTAGCATTAAATCATTTGTAGGAAGGGTGATCACTTACCTGGTAGTACTGATTGATCATTGAAATCATGTTGTGCCTACCATGATACTGAATATTGCTCTCCCTCTGATTTCAGCTACAATGTTCTCCAGTACTCACTCAAGTCGGAGTGGAACGGCTACTGGGGGTGGTCCACCATCACATCCTGTCAGTCACCCTTCTCCAGGGCATAATGTACAGGGTAGTCCTTGCAACCCACCATCCCAGTTACCTCCTCTCTCAGCTGTAGACTCAGGCACTGAAAGGTAAGACTATCTTTATTCATTTTAAAAATGAGAAGCAATTGACTTTGAACATTACTAAGTTTAGTAGTAGTTTTATTGTTACTCTTGTTTGTTTAGAATGTTAACAGCGCAGCCGGATTATGATGATACTTTAACATATATTTTGTGTTCGTGCACAAACGTAGAGTAAGTGACCACAGTTCTAAGTAAATCCCAGAGCATATAGTTGTGCCTCTGGGATTTACTTAGCTACATTCACTGGTAGTTTTAGAGAGATTCTTACTTTTTTAAAATTTATTATTTGTACTACAATAGTGCCCAGAGGCTCCAACCAACATTGGAGTCCTGTTGTGTTAGGTGCTAACACACAGTAAGACACAGTCCCTGCCTAGAAGAGCTTACACTGTAAATAAAGACAGGTTTCAGAGTAGCAGCCGTGTTAGTCTGTATCCGCAAAAACATATGCATATGCATCCGAAGAAGTGGGTTGTAGCCCACGAAAGCTTATGCTCTAATAAATTTGTTAGTCTCTAAGGTGCCACAAGTACTCCTGTTCTTTTTACTGTAAATAAACAAGACAAATAGTAGGAGGGGACACAAGGATGAAGTGACTTACCCAAGGTCATTCAGTAGATCAGTGACAGAACTATAATAGAATCCCAGGTCTCCAGACTGCTAGTCAAGTCTCCTATCCACAAGTCCATTATATGAAAGCTATAAACTATAAGGAGGCTTGGAAGGATTAGATTTTTATTGGTTAATGTCAGTAAACATCAATTTCACTTTGCATACACAAACCAACAAAAATATATTTCCATCAATGATTATCAACATTTACAGAGAAGCAAAGCAAGCAAAATGTTGTGTGAGAACTTATTAGAGTTTGATTTAGGGATATTTACTTTGTGTTTTTCGACATTTGATGCTGATAATTTGCATCTTAATAGTTAGAAACCTTTAACTTTTGAATCTCAATGTCTACTGTCAACAATTATTGTCTGACCCCCAATAATTTCCTGCAACTGTAAAAATTTAAATAGATAAAATTTTAAAAATGCTTAAATCCTGTAATTTTTGCACAACCATGAAAAGTTAAATTGATAATCTAAAACCAATGCTTTAAAGTAAACATTGCTATTATTGATTGAAATTACAAAAAAAATAAAAAAAATTGAATTCTGCCAAGCTTATGAATCAGGATAGTGTCTCTCCAATTTAAAATCCCATTGAAGGAGAAAAGACAAGGTGGAGGAGAGATGGAGATTCTTTCTTAATAAGAATGAAAATGTTAATTATTGAGTTACTCTATGTAAGTGGCTTGGGAGCCATGACTATTAGAGCCTCACTAGCATTTATATTCTTGTGCTACTTGCCAACATGTTGAAGTGGGCAGGTTGTCAGTTTGATTATCGCTGACTGACTTGGCTTTCGAGAAGTGTAACGCACATGGGTTGAACTTCTATTGCATGTGTTTGTATTTGTTTTCAGCATGTTTAGTAGGAGGAATTTTTTTAATCATGAAAATTTGCAAGCTGAACTTGCAAGATGCTGCATGCCTCCAGTGAACTTATAAATGCCCCTCAAGCACAGGGAATTTTTAGAGTTCAGGTCACTTTGCACCTCTCAGGAACTGATCAGCACTTCGCAGGACTGGGACCCTGATTTGCATGTTATTTGACATTTGCAGCTTTGAAAACTCTAGTGTAAACTGAAGCTGCTTTCTCAACTGAAATAAGCTCATATTTTTGCAGGAAGCTGATATCTTCCGTATTGTGAGACTAGTGTGTGATGACTGGACTTGACTTCTAATTCAGTAGCAAAAGACTATGATTCATAGTCAGAAGTCATTCATTGCTGGTTAGGGACAAGATCTCCCATCTTTATGGTTTCTATTACTTTGGATATTTCAGTGATATAAAAGCAAATCCTCTGAGAGGGATCCAGTTTTCATCTTTAAATATTACCTAAATGATTATTGAACAGATATTGCATGCTGTTAATGGTTTCCACTTAGTATATTAAATCAGAATTCTGACTATACTGCATGATATCTAGGTCAATAGTTTTTCAGTAGAAACATAGTTCTGATATAAATTCAGTGGTACACATATTACACTCTAATTTTAATATAAATATTCTATTCTTACTATATATCTATGGAAATTTTTAAATATAGTTTTGCTGATTTTACATAATTTTCAACACACTAAAATACACACTTCTATAGTTCACTAATGTATCACAAGGTGTTTAATTTTCTTGAGGAATAGAAATGTCAGTAATTAGAAAAGCATAAAAAGTCCAATATAAACCTAAAAAGAACTTTCCTAGATTTCAGTTGCTGATAAATGGACCTAATTCCCCCATGATGAAAACAGTACTACAGCTCTGCCTTTTATCTTGAAGATGGAGGAACTGGATGGCTTGGGGGATTGGGCTAAGGTGTCTTTCATGTCTAGGTTGCCACTTTGAGTTCAGTTAGTTCAGTCATGGCTGAAAGGGGTTAGACCTCCCGCTCTATGGGGGTAGTATCAGTCCACTTCTAGTGGAGGTGCCTCATCACAAACACAATCATCATTACTGCAAATTGTTAGTATTCTTGTTAGGAGAAGGGCCAAGGAGTGAATGATATATAGATTCCTCTTCCCTGTAGAAGTGGGTTCCTATCGGTCGGAGTTGAGGGATATTGGCAAATGCTATTGGGATGTTGCCGCTGCCTTTTGTTGCTAGACCACTAGCAGGGTCAGTCCAGCATTTATTACAAGCATTAAAATCACTGTTTAAAAAACAAGTCTGGATCCTCTTATTAGCACATTTCTGAGAAGATTACTGTGGGGAGATCACTGTCGAAGCACTTTAATAGTGACATGTATAAATAGTTCCTACCTCATTGGGGCCCTGATCCTGTTTGTGGCCTCAGGACACTATGATAATACAGGCAATAATGAATAATAATGAAGTTCTGGTCTGATACGCTCCTTCCTTACAAACCTTTTTTTTTTTTTTTTTTTTTTTTTTTTACACTAACCATATACACATTTTCATAAACTGTTTCATTGTTACTCTCCATCTCTGTTTGGGGCTACTTTGGATTCAAGACTGAGTAAGTGCCAATAACTACATTAATGCAATGTTAAGAGGAAGCATTTAAATGCAGGAGAGTGAAGATTACCACAGCAGTGATAAGTTGGTCACAGGGCATCTATATATATTTAGGCAAATATTTAACAGGAGAAATAATACAAAACACTGCATATAGCCAAGACCCTGTGTATTCTGCCATCATGGAATTTTCCACAGAATTCACCCCTTGTTGCAGAATCTCCATTTCCATTTAAAAAAATTAAATGTCAAGCCTCCATGGTTGTGGTGATAACCTTGAAAATGTGAACTAAGTATAAACTTGTCTGAGTGTGCAAAGATCCTGAAATAATAGTTCTGAGAGGTATGAACTGCCTCAGCCATCTCAATCTGGGACCCACCGACTTAGACCTGGTCTAAACTTAAAATGTAGGTTGACATAACTATTGTGTTCAGGGGTGTGAAAAACAGACACACCTGCGTGCTACAGCTATGCTGACATAACTCCTGGTGTAGACGCAGCTAGGTCAATGGAAGAATGTTTTGGTCAACCTAGCTACCGTCACTCAGGGAGGTGGAGTTCCCACAGCAATGGAAAAACCTCTTCCGTTGCTGTTATCTGCATCTACACTACAGGGTTATAATGGCATAGCTATGGCACCGTAGCCATTGTCGCACCCATAGTGTACCCATGGCCTTACTGATTATGCAAGCGTGGAATGTGCCATTTTCTCCAAGAGATCACAGAATTCTGCATACAAAATTAATTACTGAGCTGGAGCCAAGAGCCCAGCATTTTGTTTTGTCTCCCTGGCCTGCTGGAACCTGTCTGCAGCTGCTTCTTGCTCTGGACCTTTCAGCACAAGGGGAAGTTAATTGGACTACAGTGCATGCTCACATCACTGTTTTATAGAACACAGCAGGAGTGAGGAGGGGCTGGTGCAGAGTTTAGGGAGCCAGTGTTGTAGTCCAGGTTGCAGCCAGGGAGCAGGGGGAGGCAGAAGGGCAGGCTGGATAGCTAGGCTGCCTAGAGGCTTGGGGAGCTGAGATGATGAACTAGGGAAGCAGACCACAACCTCTGCATTCCCTCTTCCATGGCACACATGAGGAAGGGGAAGGAGAATCTGTCCTGGACCACCTAGATAATGTTGTAACTGCTGAGGCCCTTGGAGCTGGGCATGTAGTGTACAAAGCAAAAAAATCCATCATGAACAAAGTATGGTTGAGAATAATCATTGGTGAATTGTACAGCCCACTATGAGTCATCGTTGTGTGTTTGGTTGCGGAAGGGATGAGAATGTAGGATATTTCACGGAGATACAATAAATTAATATTACCACAGAATTTAGGAGTTCTTACCGCAGACTTTGTTGCCATTGTGCCATGTAGTACATGAGGTGCTGCATATTCTAAGTGGGCAATGTGGCTCCACTAATGCAGTAGAACCTCAGTTACGAACACCTCGGGAATGGAGGTTGTTCGTAACTCTGAAATGTTCGTAACGCTGAACAAAATGTTATGATTCTTTCAAAAATTTACAGCTGAACACTGACTTAATGCAGCTTCGAAACTGTACTATGCAGAAGAAAAAATCAGCTTTTAACCATCTTAATTTGAATGAAACAGTTTCCTTACTTTGTCAAATCTTTTTTTTAAGCTTCCCTTTTATTTTTTTAGTAGTTCACATTTAACACAGTACTCTACTGTATTTGCGTTTTGGGGGGTTTTTTTGGATCTCTGCTGCTCCCTGATTCCATACTTCCAGATCCAAATGAGGCATCTGGTTGACTGGTCAATTCATAACTCTGGTGTTCGTAACTCTGAGGTTCTACAGTATTACCCTGAGAACCTTAACTACTGGGTTTTCTGCATTTTGAATGATTAACTTCTCAACCTTAATGTTGCATTAACATAGTTCTCGCTTTTAATATTCAATTACA